AGTTGCTGTCTGGGTCAGTTTTGAAGGGTTTCTGTTGGGATGTGAAGGCCTAGCTCGCTAGCCTAGCAGCATCCTCCGCTTCAGCAGCCGCCGCCAGCAAAGATGCGTGTAGAAATCCACAGCTGTCTGTCCCCATCGCATACTGGCGAAAAAAGCGCTCTCTGTTGCAAAGCACGTCCGCTGGGTTGATTGTCGGCGGTTATGTCTTCATGTGCGGAAAAACTCATAGATGGTGTTCAGATGACAGCGACGAAGAGCAGAGGTGTTGTTATGAAAAGCCATTGCTAGTAGCTATGCTAACTGCTGGCGTTGCCCTCCTCTGACTCGACTCTAGCGGGGTTGGAATGAAGTCTGCGCATGCGTGCAGAGAGGGAGAGGAGAAGGCTGCCACCTAGCGTTAGTTTGCCAGATTAACAGCAGATCTCCGAGCCTGCAGGTCATGTTTTCTCTTTGAAGCACAGTGGGGGATTTTAGAAAGGGATCATAAAGCTTTGTGAAGAACAAACACGACTGCATCGTATGTGATGGAATATCATTTTTAATTGGAGATATGCTCTGACAATGCTGTGGTAATAATTACAGTACAGTACGACAAAGTAAATAAAAATAAAATACATTATTTTGATTTGTGACAATCCCAAAGCCCGATAGGAATATCCCATGATCCAATGATTGAATAACAAAATAAAAACATATACGTTTTGTCATTTAGAGCAAAAATGCCAAAAATTGAGCATTTGAGTAAAATTACTTTTTGTTTTATCATGAAGTGAGGACATTTCTTTCAAATTATGACAAATCTTCCCCCAATGCTTTCCCCCTGTATAATATAACACAAAACACCAATGTTTTAATCTGAGTTAAGATATCAAAATCTGAAATATAACCCTGATTCAATTACATCAAATGAAAACATTTGCTTTTGAGAGCCACTGTAATTTATTTCCAAATAATAATAATGCAAAAAATGACAATATTTGAATTTGGAATTTGTAAGAAATGTTATCAGATCTTTTATAGAAAAAAACATTGACATTTAACTCATAATTTTATTAAATAAAAAAAGAGGATTATGTCAAGAGATGTCTTAATTTCTGTCACCTGGGCCCAGTTTTTCAAAAAAAGTTTCAAATTGGTCCAGATTTGGAAATCTCATGCTTTGTTATCCAGGATTAACTGATCTATATATTTTTTTATGACAGTCTTTTAAAGGAACATTGGATCATTGTGATTTAAATACCAAATTTCAAGATTACCAAATCCATTTTACCAGAGCCTTAAATACAGGGGTGCCTAAACTTTTTCGTATGAAGTGCCAAAAAAACAAATATTATTGGGTAATTTCTTAACTTATATTAAAAAAAAAAACAACCAAAAATACTTTAAATCGCAATAACTAATGCAGTATAAATTTTTAAATTATTACAATAAAAACAAGGCAAAAATGGGGTTTAATGCTGAATACACTTGCCAAGAAAAATCTGCCTTTGCCTTGACTTGTCTCCACAATTCCTGCATTGTCCTCTATCCGTCAGCCCTAGTTTGGGAATCTCTGCTTAAGGGAAAACAGTGTAGCCTACTGGCTTAGCAAAGAACAACAGCTAGTCAAAATACCAGCGACCACTAACAGCCATTGTTTGTTTTAATGCTAAGAAATAGAAACACTGCAATCAACAAACATTTTACATTTCTTAGTTTGTTCTAATACAACACTGCTTTGATTATAATAATTCTGAAGTTTGTGATCATTTATTTAAAAAATAAACCTTTTAAATTTATTTGGTTCATAAAAATCACAACTGAATCCACCCTTTTTATGGGATCAGGATAATCCTGTTGTTGTTGTTGCTGTTGTTGTTTTTGGATGATATAGATCTCAATTTGAGTTCAAAGTTTTGACTAGCCCAAAGGGCAGGTTTGATACAAGTCAAATATAAGATTGGATTTCATGGTCTGATCTTAATTCAAAATCCCTTTGTTACTTTTGAATAAGTCATTTCCAAGATTTGATACAATCCATGATCCAAAATCCCACTGGATTACTTTTGAAAAACTGGGCCCTGAACATAAAAAAAAAATAAAAAAATAAAAAAATAAAAAAATAAAATAATAATAAAAATAAAATAAACAATACATTTTGTTCTTCCACTCTGAAATTTCAGCACTTACATATGAGAACAGCTCATGTTATAATTCAATAAATATGAATGTAATATCTGCAACTATTTCAGATTTATTAATGTTACTTGGACAAAATAGAGTTCCTTGACATCCATTAAATGTTGTTTCTTAGATTACCGAAATTCAGAGACAGTGACACACTGAAACATACACTCACGATGCAAGTTTGTCATGTGACCAGTTGTGATGTTTTTGGCAGCTTTTGCTAATTACATTGAAATGACAATATTTCAATCCATAATACAGACAACATTCATATGGAGACCAAGTACAGAACTGTTTTAAGTGATCCGTCTTCATTGATATTGACTGACAGTGTGAAATGATGATCAAAGATCTATTCTATAATAGATAAACCTCATATATACATACATTTAAGCATATCTAATACAAATTTATGTACATTCTTATTTATATATTAAGAGTGCCTGTTGAAAGAATATTGTTATTTTGTTCCGTAATATGTATAAAAACATACAAAAATAAATTGAAAGAAATAAAATAATAATAATAATAAAAAATAACAACAACAGAGCCAATTGAGTGAAGGAGGGATGATTTACAAGAACATACTGTACATTGACTTTACTGTCAAATTTTTTTCCCTAGCTGTCTTTCTTTTGTTGCTGTACACAGAAGCGAGTCATAAATAAGGTAACTATAAATCAACCAATTAAAAAAGGGACCCACTTCACATCACTGGATACAGATGTACCAGCTGCCATGCAAAATACAACACTTGATAAAATTGGCTGACGGTTTTTGAACAGCTTTTATAAAACATCTCATTTTCATGATGTGCAAAATCTGAAAAAATTTAATTGTAAATCATGCTTAGGTTTAATGTTTTATTAAAGTGTGAATTTGCAGTATATGTATGGCAAATTAATAAAAGCTCCCCATACATGACCACTCAAAAGTTTAGTGCAACATTTATCCTTTTTTTAGGGATTGTTTTTTAAAAATGGACCTACCATGAGAATAAAGACTTTTATATTGCTGCAAAACATTTCAGTTTCAAAAAAATGCTGTTGCTTTGAACTTTGTATTAAATAAACAACAACAAGAGAAAAATCGACGTATATAAATAAATAAATAAATAAATATAGGTATTTACAAAAAATAACTGCAGCTGTATTCATACAATGTTATTATTACCATAATATCATTCATCTGTTTTTCCTACTATGGGAGTCAGAGGTTACAGGTTTTCAGCTTTCTTTACAAAACTTTTTTGTGTTTAACAGAAGAAGGAAACTAATAAAGGTTTGAAACCACTTGAGGGTGAGTAAATCATCAGTAAATTTCAATTTTTTGGCTGAACCATCCCTTTATAACACACCTTCATCATCAAAAACATTAAAGGTGCAGTAGGAGATTATCTTCAGAAATCTTTTTTGTTGTGCTGGTTGAAAGTCTGTTCACATTCCAATAGTACTGATTAAAGTAAATTATCTAAATGTATTCATATGTACTTTTATATTCTGGGTAAGGCATAGACAAAAATGTTCATCCCAATTCCCATAATTCTAATTGAATGTAGATTTGTACATCTGTGCACACCTGTTCACGCAGATCTGCCGTTTGCGTGTGGACGTGAGAGAGTCACAGCAGTAAAACCAAATGCTGAATCAAAACTTTTAAAATACTGAGTCAATGTTGGAGTTGCTTTTGCATGCTGGTGGAAGGATGACACCATGGCTGAAGGCTTTCTTGAAGACAGGTAATGTTCTGCTTTAAAACTATTTTAGTCACGCAAAGCTGATATAGATTGTGTTGTTTCATGAATGGGTTATATGCACAGAAGTGTTGTTCACCCACTGAAATCTTCCGGCGAATGATTATTGTGACTATTTTCAATTTCATAAGGTACCTTTTACAGCATCAATGATGTAGATTTGTATTTAGTTAAACAACAAAACATAAGTAAAAAGCATTATTCCACCTAGCCTGCTTTACTGAGGTGAAGATGGTTTTATATTCACATTGGTTCACTTTTAAAAAGCAGTGACAGCCTGTGACGTGCTCCCTATTGTTTACCGCTACTCTGAATATTCGGTCGGAAATAACAGGTAAGTATGGCTTAGTAATAAGAGTAAATCCTGCACGCTGCCAGTGTTATGAGTCCCCCCTGAGATTGGGTCCGTGAGTGATCCTACTGGAGAGTGGATGATGGGGGCTGGCGGCATACGTCCCACTCAATTTTAGAGACAGACTATTTAGAAACAGGTGATTAAGAATGTAAACTTTTGGATTTCATACAGCTCCCCCCTCCCACTTTTAATATTTCCACTACGCCCCTGCCTACCGTTAGCCTCCTGGCTACACAAAGCTAACGCAGCTCTAATTAACCACACAACAAGGTATCACAATGATAGCTTTTGATCAGGCATTCACCACAGATGATCCCTTAGGGGTCCTAAGCGGACTCGATTGCAGGGGGGAGTCGATATCCCACCACACCAGCATACAATAGTTGCTTTAGGAAGAAGCATGTGAGAGAGTGAGACCAGCAAATCTTGCGTGCATGAAATATTGCACATTATGTCAAGTTTTGCTTGCTACACAACTGAAAGTGTGCTAGATATAATACAGTTTTTGGTTCGATACTATAAAGTACTATAAAGTTCTCACTGGAGAATGACATGATCTAGTAGAACTGTTATCTTTATGATGCATGTATGTGATTTCAAGAGGAGTGACCTTGGTATTATGCTAATGGTTAGCATTTTGACAGATAACCAACTGCACCTTTTAATAATCATATAAACACCAAACATTTGAATGGTAGTGTATACCATTATAATGGAAGCACATTATCACCAGAAAATGAAATGTTTTATTTTTTATAACTGACCATTTATCGTGCAATTACTTCATTTTCAATGAGAATGGACATCATTTGTATTTCACAATTGCAGCCATTTCTCATATTTCAACTTTTTTTGAATCTTACAAAGCCTCTCGGGGTGTTGCAAGTCAAAAAATGTCAAGTAAAAAAAAAGCAAAAGTGTTTAAAGAGAGACAACAGTAACATAAATATCATGGTTTCCCCTATTGCCTGTCATTTTATCCAATTCCTTTTTGAATTTGGCTCAATTACGGGTAAAAACTGTACAAGCAAGTCTGCTAGGCCATGGCTATTGAAGCGCTACAAAAATAATATCATGTTGTCCACACTCTTGGCTTGTGGAAGTCCTCAGAAGCGAGGTGCTATTTACAGCAGATGGGAAAAAAGATGAGAAGGTAGGTGAGATTAAGAGCAGAGTTGGCTACACAAGATGTGAGAGGAACTGAGATCTTCCACAAGGCAGAGAAAGGCTTGCGGTCCTCCATGCTAAAACAAGCGTGGTTTTATTTAAATGGAGACTTCGTATTCTCTCGTGTCCTGCGGATCAGACAAACAAAAAACACATTTTTCAGATTTTCAAGAAATTCACGTGTTCATATATAATTGCATTTTGTGCCAGGTGGGATTATGTATGTAACAAAACCAGTGCATGTTGGAAACAAAAACACAAAAGAGAGACGCTAAAAATGGAGATGCTCTAAATCCAGCGGTTCAGACCTTCTCGGCTTTGTCCGTGCTGATCAACTCTCCTTACAGGCTCTTTCTTTACAACAGAATCCTAGAGAGAACCTCTGGTGGCTGCTTTGAATCATAGGTCTCTGTACAAATCAAAAATATCATGCAGCTTAAGCATGAAAATAACTTAAAATAAAATTAATATCAGCAATGGAAACATGATGGAGGTTGGAGGAAAAAACATTGGGTGGTTTTGGTGAAAAAAAAAAGCATAAGTGTGAGTTATAAAAAAAAAGATGTGTAATTTAGGAAATGACATGAGAACACAAAGTTCCAGGAGTGAAAACAGCATTTAAATTCTGGAGTTAATTGGTAATTAAGATCTCATATCAATGTTTGGCAGTCATTATATTTTATTTATAACCATTTAAAACGCTGATTACAGTTTGGAATCAGGTTAAAGTCAGTTAATGTATTTACTAATGAATTAAGAATAAATAACACTAGTACATCATTTTTAACAATATTAATTAAATTTATTTAATAATATATTAATAAATAACACATTTATTAATGTGTTTGTTACAATCCTAAAGGTGGTTAGTCAAGGTGGGGGAGAGTAACATTAATTTTGGATGAAACACATAAACAAACACACAATATCAACGAGTGAGGGACAAAATACCACGAAAAACTAAATGCAATAGAGTAGGTTTTATTTACAAAAGATAGTTATAATAAGTGAAAAATATGTTTATATATAGAACAAAAAATATTTCAACAATCAAAAACCTATTGAAAATCACAGACAACAAACAGGACACAAAATGTTTAAACAATAAGAGGGTGAGTTGGAGAGATGAGACCCGAGCGGCGTGCAAACAATAAAAATAAATAAAACAAAACAACCAATTCTATTGGCCCAAATTCTACCCTAACTATCCAAAAAGAAAAAATATATATCTATTATTGAAAAGAAAATCTTAAATTCATGCTTGTTAACATTAGTTAATGCACTTGTGAACATGAAGTACAACAAACTGAATTTTCATGAACTAACATTACAAAGATAATAAATACTGTAATAATTGCATTGCACATTGTCTGAACATGTTAAATATATTATCTAACATTAACAAATTAAAATTTAGTGTAAAGTGTTACGGGTATGAATGTCATACTGGATTTCAACATTCTTCAAATTATCTTCTTTTGTGTTGAACAGAAAATAAAAATCATATCTGTTTGTAGCATTTGAGGGTGAGTAAATATTTTAATTTCTAACTGCCCAACACGATACATGATTTCAGTAAAAAAAAGAAAAAAAAATCACATCATGAAATACAAATATTTTGTCAGTGATAATCTCAGTCAAACATGGATCTACCAAAAATGTAAAAGAATAGTGTTATATACACTGTAAAAATCGACTTGTGTTGGGACAACGTAAAGGAATTAAATGAACTTTATAATTTTTACAAACTGAAGTGGACTGAACATAAAACAATTAAGTTGTCCCAACAAATCCTCAAGAATTGTGTTGTTTCAGCTGATTCTAAATGTGAACAGCAAACTTTATTTTTAAAGTGTAGAATAATAACTGATAAAAGAACACATTTTATTCAGATACTTCTTATTTATTGCTGTTAGACCATTTTTGAGTTGCTTTCAGAATGAATTACAGTTTTAGTTGTTTTAATGCATGTTTTACATTATATCTAACCAGCAACTGGTTTAATTGACTTAAAAGTTTAGTTTTTTTTTTCCCCCATTCATTATATGTAAGAACTCCATGTACTGCAACTTTAATAAAACCACTGTTGACAGAGATGGTTTTTGCAGAGCAAACTCACTTGAAAGGTTGCCACGACCTCTTATAACAGACATTTTCGGGTTTGTTGTTTAGGATTTGCTCATTAGAGAGCTATTAAAATAGGTGATTAAAATAGATTTAACTGCCTGTATTTGGATAATGTGATTATATTAATTGAACATTATTAAGACCCAAACCTGCATAAATGATTGATCGACTAAAATAAATAAGTACATAGATAAATAAATAAAATATTATTATTACCAAACAAACATCAAACAAACAAACCAAATAAGTAAACTACTAAATTATTCTTAAAAGTATTTTTTATGAAACCCCAACTATTTATTTTTAATATATTGTTTTATTTTTATTTTTTATATGTATTTATTTAGAAGTGTATTTTTTTGCATTTATTCCCACATGTATTTATTTACATTTTAACTACTTTTTTTGTTGTTATATAAAAAAATAAAAAAATGAAAGAACAAACAGAAAATAAAGTTGAAATTATTACAAGTATTTTAAAATGTAAAAAAAATTAATATGAAATGCAAGGTCATTCATTCATTTGTCCGTTCTTTCCTTCCTTTCTTCAGCAAGCTAGCTAGCTGATGTGGGCATCCACAGAACATGAACTGAGTATTATAAAGCGATTTAATGTTTAAGGAAAAAGACAATTCCAAATCAAGAACACAAATGAAAAAAAAAAAAAAAAAACTAAAATGAAATGAAATAAAATGCCCACAGCACAATATACTCGAAGGCTCTGCTTTTAGTAAACACAATCTTTTGAAGATCAAGACTTGTCATTGGGGTTTATGATCCTCTGTTTGCATCATCCTCGACACACTTAATGCAAGAACATGAGTTCAGGGCATTAATGGAAAAAGATGCATGCACACAAGCACACACACAAAGCATGCACGCACACACGCGCACACGCGCACACACACACACACACACACACACACGCACGCACGCACGCACACACACACACACACACACACACACACACACACACACACACACACAGACACACACACACAGACACACACACACAGACTGACACAGACACACATCCCTAGGGGATATAACTGTTATGGATCAGTTTAGTACATGCAGGCAGTGAATGGGTTATGAGTGTTATGAGATCTGAAGGGACACCAGCACAGCACATAAGAGGTGTGAATAATGTGTGTGTAACACATGCTAGACACAGCAGGCAGAGTGAAAAAAGACCATGTATCAGTGTAAAAGTATCGACAGGCAAAATCTCACCTCATTGTTCTTCAGGGATGCAAAAAGACAAAGAGAAAGTGCAAATGTAAGTAAGCGAGCAAGATAATGTAGGTTAAAATGTGTTAGATCAATTACAGGGATAATTTAAAGCCCCCCAAAATGCACATTTTGTTATCGACGTGCTCAGCATAAATGAGCATAAATGAGTACACCCCCTTTTAAAAATTAATATATAATTTTAAACCTTTGTCAGTGAATATAGAGCAGGAGTGCCCAAACATTTTCTTATGAAGGGACAGAAACCAAACTTGATTGAGGCTAGTGGGCCGAAGGGAAATATATATTTGCCATGACTAATGTCTTAATTTATTTAAGAATATTTTTTAAAAAGTAGAAAACATTGATTTATATTAACTAATACAGCATTTAAATTTTTTTTTTAATGAACTTATTACAGTTAAAACAAAAAACAATCTCATTTATAACAGAATGGAGTTGCACTAGTTTTGTCTTGATTTGCTTGATCAGTTTGGTGATTTAAAAAAAAATTACATTTACTTTTAATTAAAATTTTAATTTCAGTTTGCTTTTTTTGTAGCTCAGCAATAAAACAAACAAACAAACAAAAAGGTTTAGTCAAATTAGAAATAATGGCTTTTAAAGGCATTCGCCTCAACCCTCTCCATCCTTCTCATTCTCTTCTCAGGTGGGAATGGCAGGCCAAATCAAAGGTTACAATGGGTCAACTTTGGCCCACGGGCCCTACTTTGGGCATTTCTGATATAGAGCACAATCTTTGGTGCATTTAAACAAAACAATTTTATTTTATTTATTTATTTATTTATTTATTTATTTATTTATTTATTTATTTATTTATTTAATTTTTTAACAGTTATATACATTCAAATAAGAACATCTTTAGGAACAGAAATATAATACATTTAAATTCAAACAAGGATTTGCAAAAAACTAATACAAATAAAATAAAAAAATTACAAACCAAAAAAATGTAACTAAATTTGTTATATTAATGTTTCTCTTGATTTTCCTGTTTATTTAAATAAAAATTATGATTAATATTTTATTAAAATTATGTTATGTGTCAAACATAAACTTAACAATGCACTGTTCAATAATAAACAAAAACAAAATAAAAAAACATAGACCTAATAAATACATACAAAAAGCTGCCTTGAAACTGCTTACTTGTAAAAAAAAAAAAAAGTAAGAAAAGTAAATAACACATATATGACAGAATGTCAGATTTTAAGGATTTTTCCTGTTTATTAACATTTTTTTACTCTCAACATATTCATTTGAATGTACAAATTTTTTGCCCCTGATCTTAAAGGGCACCTACAGTATGATGAAAATCATTTAAGTAAGCTGTTTGGACAGAACTGTGTATAAGTATAGTGTGTACACTGTCATATTGGAGTGATAGAAACACAATAAGTCTCTTTTTAAAAATTTCCTGACGTTAAAATAGGATCCAAATCTCTCCTATTTTGAGGTCGACACAACATGACGTAGGAGTGTGGTTTCCATGTCCACCGAATTGATTGACAGACGCGTATTAACATGTCCCCAATAGAAATGGGTATAATCATATCCACAAAACACGATGTGCACAAAGCAACTGGGATTAAAACAATATTTACTGTGATCATCAATCAAATATTACTGTGATGATCATTCTTCATCAAATGTGATCAAGTTTTACAAGTTTAAATGTTTTTAAAAGAGTTAATGTTTGTAATAAAAACGGTAAAATTGCTATGTAATTAATCACCACAGCCGTATAGTGTCAGTACAATTATTAAAGAAGATGCTTCAATCCTGGTTTGTGGACCTAAATCAGGTTTAATTTTGTTAATTAATAGAACAGATATTCATACAGCAGTGGATATTAACGTGTATCCTGTCACATTTGCTTTGCAAAAACTAAAAAGGTAATACTAAAACAAATCTGATGGGTATTTTTGCGCTAAAACTTCTGGAGACTAAATCTTAAATCTTAGAAAAAAGGGTTACATAGATGCCCTTTAAGTTGTTTTGTAGATTAGATCTAGTTTTGGCGTTGGTACTGACAAAACTAAAGTATTTGCACTAAGAGCATCCCATAAAAAACATTAATTTAACAGAGAGATTTGTGAGGGATGTATTCATTTGTTCTGGGCACTGTAGATTTCATAAAAGAAAAAAATACATATATATAAATATACAAAGTAAAAAAAATGTCCCAATCTTCTGAATTATAGATGCAAACAGACTTTTTACTAACTTACAAATTTAAATTTAAGTTGATCATTATCACTTAAAGCTATAATATCTTTCAAGATCTGTATTACAAACTCACAATGCCTAGTTTTATAATGTCTTTTGACCAAATTACATTTTCTAGTAATTTTGAAAGCTCATCTACATTCACTTGGCACTATTATTTCCCCCTTTTCTGCTCCAAAAAAAGTCATGAAAATGAGCAAATATGAAGATGTCAGTAAAGCATCACTTCTGCTTCAAAAGAGTAGAAAGTGAGTATAGAACAATGAGTGCAGGTGAAGCAGACACGGTACAGGTGATACTCCAGCAGACTCTACGATAATGAGGTTAACTATGTCAATTCCTCTCTGGTTTTTAATCCTGTGATTGCTAATGATGAGATGATGAGGGCGTGGCTCTGTGCGCCACTTCATTTCAACTCCAGAATGCCACTTTACAGCTAATTAGATAACAGAAATGAACCCGCAATATGGCAGCGCAGATGGTGCTCAAAGTGCAGATGTGCACCTGTAAGACTGAACACATCAGTACCTCTCAGTCCTGCCATGAAATATCACCACAAATGGATGCCATTGGTGGGAATATGATTCTGTTATAAGATAATTACATATTTATTTTGATCACACTTAATTTTAAAGTAAAATTCTCACTATTAACAAACCATTAAGACTTTTAGATCAAAGAATGACTAATTTGCTGCGTATTTGCTCCATTGAGCCGTTTTCTTTTCTGTCAGCTTAGCATTTGTTTAAAGAGTCAATAAACTATCATGGCTCAAAACAATATTGGTGTCTAATTTTTATGTTTTATAGAAAGTAGATGTGTAATAAACAGGATAAAGTACATCCAGTTGTTTGATTTTGCTTAATATAAGCTTATATAATTAGCCTGTTGGGCTCTACTCTATGATAGCAACTGCCTGGATGTACTTAATCCTTTTACATAATACATATACGCTTGTAGAAATGCTAATACAGTATAGGGTGATTTGTTTATTTTACTATAGTTTTTGCACTACAATGACATCTATAAAATAATCCCATTCTGTGAAATATGAACTTTTTTTAGATGTCAGCATCAGTGTGCTAGTTTTAAAGATATCTATAAGCTAGTGACAAAATTTATGTTTAGAACCTAGGTCTCAAACTTGATTCCTGAAGGGCCGCAGCTCTGCACAGTTTTGCTTCAACCCTAATCAAACACAGCTGATTCAACTAATCAAGGTGTTCGAGACTACTAGACACATTTAAGCAGGTGTGAGCTAAAGGTGGTTGGAGCTAAACTGTGAAGAGCTGTGGCCCTCCAAGAACTGAGTTTGAGACCATTGGTTTAGAAAATATAAACCTGATATAAAAATCCAAAGTTTGCAGTTTGTCACTTCCACCTAAATGGATCTGATTTTTCTTTTCACGTCTCATACATGAGTTTCTCATTTAATCTTTTTCATCAAATATTGACCAATCAAATACTCTCCCCTTTAAGACACTTCTCAATTGTTTTTCATTTGATGCACTTGAGCTAAAAAAAACTGGCAGAGCTGTGATAATGTCACCGACTCGGTCCCAGTCATTCCCCTCGCTGGCCAGCAGAAGCCACCATCTCCGGACTTCTAAGCATTACATCATCCTTTCACCTTGATCATGCTCAGCTGAACTCAATCCCGCTAATGACCCACGTACCCTTTATAAGCCAGCACCAAACGCTCATTCATGGCGAAGTCTTGTTTTATCCCCGGCCAGCATTTCTGAGCGTTATTCCTGTCTGATTCCCTGTGTATTACTCCAGCCTGTTTCTTGACTCTGCTTCGCCTTCTGCCTGCCCACGACCCTCGCTTTGTACACGGACTCTGATACTCACTGCCTGTCCACGAATCACGCCTGTTATACGGACTCTGATGTTTGCTATCTGCCCACGACCCACGCCTGGTTCACAGACTCTGATACTAGCAGCCTGCCCTTGATCTATGCCTGGTAATACTCACTGCATCTATCCATTGCCAGTCTCTTGTCATCATAGACTGTGGTTGTTGTGTGTTTGCACGTTAGTGCATATTGTGTGTGTAAATGAGAACTTGAGCAATAAAAACTGCATAATGGATCCCTCCGTGTCAGTCTCCCCGTTACAGATAAAACAAAACGCTATTGGATGTTTTTTAAAGGGGAGGGGCGACTCTATGCCCAACCGTTTTTAAAGTTTCAGTTGAGATTACGTCAAACATCCAATAATAATGCAAATTTCAAAGCACTGCACAGGATCTTTAATTCAAGTAGTTTACTATAGTATGCTATAAAATTCTAGGGTATTTATTATAAATTATTCTAGTAATTTTGGTATGTCAGTTACATACTTGTTAAAACTGCTTTAAAACTGCGCACGCATATACGTATTTGGTATGACTCACATTTTTAAAACCTTTAATTTCTGTATATGCTCTACTTGCTGAAAGGCACAGATATTTAAATATATGATTTCTTATAATGCAGGGGTGTCCAAACTTGGTCCTGGAGGGCCGGTGTCCTGCATGGTTTAGCTCCAACTTCCTTAAACACACCTGCTTAAAAGTTTCTAGAAAAAAGAGCTTGAGTTGGTTCAGCTGTATTTAATTGGGGTTGGAACTAAAATATGCAGGACTCCGGCCCTCCAGGACCGAGTTTGGATACCCCTGTTATAATGGGTTTTTGTCAAGATTGTGTACAGTTCACTTGAATTAGTTGTTGTTATTTTAATTTAAGTCTAAAAAATGTTGTTAAAATTGATAGCTCTCAATTCTGCTATAATGTTGAATAGCTATGGTCACTGCAGTTAAATATTAGAAATATTGATTTCCTAGAGATTTTATTAGTATCAGTGCTGCTGGCCTTCAGTCTTTAAAAAGATAAACATATATTACAAATATACTGTGTTTTTTGTTTCATCATTTATTTGAATGCTGTATTTAAAAAGTTATTTTTCAATCAACTGACAACATTAATTATAATTGAGAAGGAGATTGCTTTACTCACCGTGGTCTCATAAATGGGGTTTTCAAAAGCAGACTCTCCTCTAATGTGATCATACTGTGGCGACGTTGACATGGACATCCGGAGAGATTTTCCCTGCACCCTGAGAGCAAACATACAACAGCAATTCATCTGCTTTGGTTTATACTGAAGGACAGAGATTTGAAGTAATCTTCATAATTGGCCAGTGTCACAAATGTCATTGCATTCCTTAATAAAATGTCAAGCCACAAGGTACTCAACCTTTTGTCATTACTAATGTCGTTTGGCTGATTACTTTTTCTACTTAATAAATTTAGTTCCTCGAAAAATTCACACTTCAGATCAAATTTTTTAAGTCTAAATATTTTTGACGTACAAAGTGTGAAAAGTCACACTTGGTTTGATATTTTGTTATATAGTGCAAATATATATAATATATTTTAATGGTTTGTAATGAAAAAGCATTTTTTATTTATTCTTTTAGGCTGCATTTATTTGATTCAAAAACAGTAATATTGTAAAATGCATGTATTCATATTTTAATATTTTTATTCATAACACAGTATATGCACATTTGAATATATTATAAAATAATACAATAAGATTAGATTTTTAGATTAGATTAAATTTTATTGTCACTACACATGTACAGGTATAAAGCAACGAAATGCAGTCTAGGTCTAACCAGGAGTGCAATAGCAGCAAGTGCAGGATAAGTGGATACGGATAAGTGCAGGATAAATAAATAAGTAATATAGACTAATTAACCAAAAACATTTAAAATTCAAACTAAATCTACTTTGAGATGACAAATGACAAAATTATCAAAATTGAAAATACATAAAAGTCAAACTATTAATAAGCAATTAAAAAATATTTTGTAACATTATTAATTTTTGCCCCTCAGAATTGTCTATAGAAATGTATAACAACTTAAACGGTCTCGAAACACTAAAACACATTTTTTGAGATGTTGAAAGTCATATATATGTTTTAAGATGCTAAAAACACTATAAGCACACAGATATTTCACAGAAAAGTGGAAATTGATTGTTTTTGCATTGTTTAGAGCAAATTCGTTCTTCCAGTTTAAAAAGAAATTTTGAATCTATGTCATGACAATGAGATCATTGTGTAAATTCCAGAGTGGAAATTGGCTGTCTCTACCAGCTGGCACATAGTGACATCATTGAGTTTTCAGCACATCTGTTCATTAATTCATAAGAAAGACTTGGTTCAAACCAATCATCTTTTGTGAACAATATGCAACTTTATTAATATGGATGACATAGCTTTGAAAACTGTTTTACCTATGTTCAGAGACGCCGTGTTGTGTTGCCAACCATAATTCAAACAAGTAATAGAACAAGAAATGTTTGGAGATGTGTATCGTCAGTGTTGCGTTTATTGATGTGCTGCAACAAAGGTTTTGTTTCCATATCCAGCTATGATAGTACTGCTCGCGTGTGAACTCACATGTGTGAATTACAGTGGTCTGCTAACACGCGACAAAAAAATGTTTGTAAGGAACATATGTTTGTAAGAGCTTTTTAAATCTGAAAATGGGAAAATCCAGATTTGCCACTTGTCTTCTTTAAAAAAAATGCGGTTCCAGTTTGTGTTGATTGTCCTGTCTCCACGGATTTGGTAAGTATCTCTTTGTTTATTTTTATTCAGATGGCAAAGTTAGTATCGTCAGCAGTACTCTTTTAGTTTTTACAGATATACCTTAGTCAAAATGATTTAGTTACTAAGTTTACAGTTATATCACTACAATATTATGGGCTAAAAATCCTCCACTTCCACACAGGTCTCAGATCTGCTGTAAATGCTGCTCTTCGAATCCCTGTCTATCTCACCTATGTCCGTGTTGCCAGTGTGAAATCAGCTGTAGTGCTCATACTGAAACTCCCCTTTTCATGCAAACCCTTCTCTTTCGCCACTCATCACCCCCCCTAAACAAAGCTGGACTCAACCACTTTCCTGACTTTTTTCAAACTGGAGGTGTGAAAACACCCTGCTGAGACAGGGGGGTTTCATGGCCTTTTAATTGTAACATATTAGAAAAATAAATACTTGCAATATTTTTTCTATACATATGCTTTAAGTTTAAAATAAATGTAAAAACCTTTTTGAAGCAACTAGTGCAACTTACCTTGAAAAGTAGAAATATATTGACAAGATGATAATTATGATTACGGCCACAGGGATGAAAATGGACACAGCCACACTGGCCCCCTCCATACTGAAGTCTGCACTGGCCACTAAATGGGGACAGAGTACAGCAAATACATACAAATTCATCTGCATACATGATATAACAAATTCTTGTGTATTTTTAAGATGCAAAGCTTCTTACCATCCAGCCGGCGTTCATCAATGTACTCCAGTGTTACCGCTGGGGGAAAAGTGAGAGCTTTTAACAAATGAGAAAATGTAGCTTGTCATACCAATTATTCAAAACAAACACTCCTTTCCCTGAAGAGAAACAATGCATCAATAAATAAACATGCACCGCAGACAGGAAAGAGACCTTTATATGAATGATATAGTATGCAGATCACGCTTCATGAGCATTGCAAAACACACAGGCTACCTTTGCACAGCGGCGGTGGATGACTCCATTTGGAAGGATGCCCGGGGACACAACGGAGAACAGGTTCGCCCTGGAGCTCGTACCCATTCATGCAGGAGAAGCGTACAGTTTCTCCAGCCTGATACACGTGCTTCTCAGAGCTCTGGATGGTGTAGGCCGGAGTGCCAGGGTTCCTGCACGGCTCAAACGAATCCGCTGTACAACACAAATATACAAATAGACACACCCAGTCACAAATTTGGAATAGTTAGCAATGCAATGTACTGTAGTTTGATAAAGATAAACAATAGGTACACATAACTTCATGCAGCTAACCCTGAATCTAACACTTATGCTTATTTTAACCACAAAGTATATACATGTACTTAATTCATATGACTCAGTGATGAAATGTTTAGTTACACTGAAACAACGACTTTGTAAAATAAAGTATGAGAAATAAAATGAACACATTTACATGTGCACTTTTTCGTTAATGTTTTGATGGCTCGTCTTCAATCAAGTTAGTAATCTACACTATAAAGCAAAGGTCACCAAACCTGGTTCTGGTGGGCCTGTGTGCTGCAGAGTTAAGCTTCAACACATCACATCTGCCTAAAACCTTCAAGAATACCAAGTTAGACCTTGGCTAGCTTGTTTAGATGTGTTTGATAAGAGTTGGAGCTATAATCTGCTGGATACTGGCCCTCCAGGAGCATTGTGACCCCTGCTATAATTAATTCATTGCATGTTGACCAAGTTGCAATTATTATACAGTTAACAAATCATTATGTTTATGTATTTGTAGGCAGTGTATGGAGTAACGCATTACACGTAACCTGATTACTCTCAAGCAACTTGTAAAGTACAGACTACTTTTTAATTACCAGGAAAAATGCTCTTCGTCCTCGTGTCGAGAGAAATTAGGAATAAGTGTACATTATAAACAGCAATTAGTTGCTTTACACTAACAAAAAAGTGTTGTAACTAGAAAATATGGCCACACTTTATTTTGATGGTCCGTTTGTTGAATTAAAGTTACATTGCAACTAATTCTCACTAGGTTATAACTAGACTGTTAGTTTGGGGTTAGGCTTGGGGTTAGGCTTGGGGTTAGGGTTAAGGCTACGTATAATCTAGTACACTATATTAATTTAGTGTAAGTTGACAAGTACTTGCAAAGTCAGTTAAATGTCTGTTGAAGGAGCATATCAACAGATATTAAGTAGACAGTCCAATAATACTCAAATGGACCATCAAAATAAAGTGTTACTGGAATTATTAAAAGGGGACTTATTGTACTTCTTTTTGCAAAAAGTGAAATAACTCTTCGGTGTTCCTAAAGTGTATATGTGAAGTTTCAGCTCAAAATACCACATAAATTATTTTTTATAACTCTTTGAAATTGTCCCTTTTAGGCTATGACCCAAACTGTGTCGTTCACTTTAAATTCTAATGAGATTGTGACCCAGCCCTCTTTTCAAAAAAGTGTGAAGCTATAAAAGCCTATGTGTTACCACATACCACAGGTATGTCACCACAGGTGGACGACTGCTTCTCACTTAGGGCTGTTTATGCTAACCAGAGAGAGATATCATCCCTAATGGGTGGGGCTTTTCCTCACTGATGACATGTATAAATGGAGAAGGTCAATAAAAGTGTTTCTACAGACTTTTTTATGAAGTGTGATTATAAAAAATAAAATAAATAAATTTTTACTATTAGAGGCTGACTATATTCTCAGACTCTTGCCTAAGTGTGTTCAAACCTCTTATTAAGTGTTTTTTGCCTAATAGGTCCCCTTCAAGTTGACTTTTTCTAAGTATGCACATAGTTCATTTACTTAATTTCAAGGCAACGGGTTAACTCACTTAAAAAATAGGTTTTTACAGATGTGTTGTGTACGATGTGTAAACAGTTACTGTAATTGTGGCTTGAATGTGATTTACTCATCTCACTTCTATAAAACATTCAGTATTAAAAATAAATAATAACAATAAAACTTTAGAATAGTCAGTGTTGAAGTTAGTTAACTAGTATCTTTCACATGCATCATATTGTTCACGTAATCTAGAAATGCAGGTGTGAGGAAAGGTTTGTTTGAGCTGAACCTTAACTTTACAGGCATGAATTTACATTCGTTTCAACCTGAGCTTTTTTTTTACTTCACATTTCAGTTTTACGTGTTAAAAGCCATTATATTTGTGGAAAACAGACATTTACAAGCAATCAATCACAGCCCAAGAAGAAAACAGTAACATAAATGTAACATAACACATTGCTTTCTTTATAAAGTACCTTAGTAACAAATTTAGTTATGTTTATAAAGAAGTAACACAAGATAGTAATACATTTATTTTAAGATGGTTTTCCTCTAGGTGTGTAAATGTCACTCACGGATGCATTTGGGCAGTTTCTCGCTCCACTTGGGGCCAGTGGAGTCTCTGTGGTAGCAAGAAAGGAGGCTGTTTCCTGACAGCGAGTAGCCTTTGTTACAGATGTACTGGACAGTGGAGCCCACGATGAGACGCGGCCCCGACATCACCCTGCGACTGTGCTCTACTGTGCCCGGGTCTGGACACGACAGCACTAGTACACAAATAACAACACGTCACAGAGTTATATATAAAAACATACAGTAGCTGGAAATAATCCTCAAACATAATAGAGTGGCTGTTGAATGTAACATGTTATATTAAGGTTTCATATCATAACTTTACTTCAGTTTTTTTTTACAATGAAATGAATGTTAATGTTTCGTTAATGTTTCGATGGCTCGTCTTTAATAGTTTATAAGGTAAGCTACACTATAAAGACGTCATTGCATATTGATCAAACTGTAATTATTCTACAGTTAATAAATCGTTGTTTATGTGTTTGTAGGCAGTGTATTGGTTAATGGATTACAAATAACATGAAATATGTAATCAGATTACTTTTTTAAGCAACCAGTAACCCAGCAGGCACACAACACCAAGATGTTGATATTAAGTTAAATATAGATCATGATGTCAGGTGACCAAAAGTCAATGTCTAGCCAGCGTCTAAGGACAACGTTATTTGACTGCAATAACGACGTCAAATTATGTTAATATTTGGTTGATTTTAGGTTGTGTTAAAAAGTGACCAAAATCTGATAAATGTCATGATACATCTACACAACATCAAGGTGTAACATGATTAGACATTGATATTTGGTTGATTTTAGGTTGGACATTGGACAATGACGTCGACCTAATGTTGGGTTCTGACATGAACCCGATTTTCATTTTACAACAAAATCCAACATCCCCATGACGTTGGGGTACGTTGGGGTACATCGTCAATATGACGCCATGTTGACATCCTGTGCTTGCATGAAAAGTACTGATTACTTTAAAATTTCCAAGAAAATAGCCCTTTTCAATACTTTTTCATAAAGTAATGCCAGTTACTTTAATACTCATTTACTGACTCACAACTCCTGTCCTTGTTTTGAGATAAATTGAAAGTAAGTGTTCACTATGAAAATGATGGATGGATGGATGGATGGATGGATGGATGGATGGATGGATGGATGGATGGATGGATGGATGGATGGATAGATAGATAGATAGATAGATAGATAGATAGATAGATAGATAGATAGATAGATAGATAGATAGATAGATAGATAGATAGATAGATAGATATACAGATAGATAGAATCAGAATTGAATAGTTTTATAATGTACTAAATAAGCAATCATAGATAACAAGTACTTTAATATGATATTATATGCTATATTAACTCAAGCCTAAATGATTTACATTTTTCACTGGAATTTATTTAAGATCTTTTAAAAGGTAAGGTAAAGTTTTTTTTTTTTTTTTTAATTATACTTCTCCTTTCCACCTGCAGGTGGCACCAATGACTAAAGTACAAATATTTACTGAGCGAAAAATGCCCTTTGGATCAGAGCACATTATTTGTCCCTTCTGGTTGACAATGTTTTAACATCTTTCATTGCTCGTGTTTTACAGTACTAAATTCTGCATTTAGCAGACACCTCTTTCCAAATATCAATGTATTTGAGGTATGTTTTTTATAGTAGTATATTTTCTGGTTTCTCTTTCACATCACACGTCATACACGCAGATCCATATAATCAGAGTGCCAGGAGCCGCAGCTCATCTCATCCAGACAGTGTGAGGAAAGCAGGACATGCGACTTTGATCTCAGGGCAGTGTACGGACACACGGTGCAGTATAATAAAAAGATTAGTTTGCTTCAGCCTGCCCAGCTGCAAACCCAATTCGCTCCTCAGCAGTGGAAGGGCAGGAAGAGGCGACGGCAGAGGCGACTGAGTTAATGATGTTTGCGTGGCGGGAGGGAAGCTTTGAACCGGATAACGGTCCCTGCTGCTTTGGGCCTGCTGTTTTTGTGAGGGACAGCGGCAGAACCTGGACCCTGGGGTCATGTCTGTGACGAATATCTGCAGTATTACACATTCACACAGAGCAAGTCTGGGCAACACAAAAGGCAGGCGGCCAGATTTCATTTCAAGCGCTGGAGTGACTTTTACTACAAAAGTATATTGCAGAGCTGACTTGATTTGAAAATCTTCTATAAAACACTTGGTGTGCCAACGGGACACTAACCAAATCTCACCAGGAGGCGTGTAGAGAAATAAAAAATCATCCAAAATGGCAGAAATTGGGTTAGCAAAGGTGTCAAAGGAGAGGAAGATGCACAGAGACTGTGAAGCAAAAATGGCGCCTGCTTCATCCATTTATTTATTCTGCGCTCCATAAAATCCATTGGTAACTAATATTTTAGTCTCATCCTCACGCCAATCACCTCCCACACACTTATGCAAATGACACTTCTCTGGAAATACTATATGTAGGAGATTCAAAGTTGTCCTTTGATTGGTTTAAATATACAGCATTTCTGGGAGTCAAATGTGCAAGAATTTGAACTAGTTCACCTGGAAACATTCATTCCATTCCTTCGGCTTAGTCCTTTATTTATTATGGGTCGCCACAGCAGAATGAACTGCCAACTATTCCGGCATTTGTTTTATGCAGCGAATGCCCTTCCAGCTAGTACTGGGAAACACTCCCACACACACGCACACACACACACACACACACACACACACACTCATACACTATGGACAATTTTGTCCACCCAATTCACCTATATCGCATGTCTTTGGATTGTGGGGGAAACCGGAGCACCCGAAAGAAACCCACGTGAACATGGGGAGTACTTGCAACCTCCACACAGAAATGCCAACTGTGAGATAATGCGAGATATATTAATTTGCAGTATTCTTAAAACTATGCAAGATTCACGTCATAAAATTGTTAAAAGATGTCTAAGGGTTTCTACTTTGTCACAAAGAAAACTAATGGGTTGCACTTTCTGTCATCTCAGGTCAGTATGTAGAAATGCATCATTAAAATAAGAACTGAAATTCAAAACGAGAAAAACTCCTTTGTGTTTTGCTGACAGTTCACCAGCATGGACTACGCCACACTCTGACCTACGCTTTATTGTAGGGATGTAGGGATGTAGGGATAGTAAGGGAACAGTGGGATGAAGGGGAAGGGAAGTAAGAGGATAAACAGTGAACAGGTAGGTAGACTGATAGGGCGTCGTTAAAAACATTTCAAGGAGTAGATGATTGGTTAAGGAGACAGAGTAAGGCGTGGTTCCACTGTCAAAACTTTGTTAACAAGTTAACTCCATATAATTTGGAATATGTGCCTATGTTGATGTTTATGAATGAATGTGTTATTCTGTGGACATTTACACACCCCTAAACATGATGTGGCACAAAACGAAATGATTGGTTGGTTAACCTGTGTTGACCATTAAATGTGGCCAAAGTTTCCAGTTCCTCAGCTGTTAGTCTGAGGTCTAGCTACACAAAACTACTAATAATTTACAAGTATTCTTAAAATAACAATGTTTTATAAGAAAAAAATACATTTTTGTAGTAAAATCAATCAGCTTCCAGAAATGATCAGATGTGCTCTAATAGCATACTGTATGTGTACATTCAAACTAAGGCTTAAAGGGTCCTATGATGAAAATCAACTTTTGTAAGCTGTTTGGACAAAACTGTATGTATAGTCATATTGTAGTGATATAAACCCAACAGTTTAACAGGCTACAAAACCAGCTACCCCAAATGGGCAAATTCTACATTATATAATAAATAATCTGATGGGTTTTTTGGTGCTGAAACTTTACAGACACATTCTGGAGACACCAAAGTCTTATCTCACATCTTGTAATAGAGATAAAATGTGCTCTTTAAAACATATTAGTTTAGTGACTGAACACTGCTACATTGAACAGATCACACTATTTATGTACAGTTTCCTTTTTGTTCTTTTCAAACCTGTTTTAATACAATTTTAATCTTCTTTAAAGCATTTTTATTCTTTCTTGTTTCTTCTTATTATAGTTGATTACTTTATTGATCCACCTTTTTATTCAAACCACTTTGAATTATCTGAGTGTATGAATTGTATTATTAAAATAAACTTTACCACACTTGACTGGAGTGTCTATGAAAGTAAGCTGCGGAGCTGAGCTGGTTTGAAATTTGTTGATGAAACAATCTCAAAATGTTACAAAATCTCTCTTCCATAATGACAGAAATCATATTTGTAAAAGAGTTGTTGGACAGAAGACGCACAGAGACTGTGAAGAGAAAACAGCGCCTGCTTCCTCCCTGAAGTCGCCCTCGAAAGAAAAGTGAGTGATTACCCACAAAGCCATCCTTCACTCCTCGCCTGTCCTTGAATGGGATCGAGGCGAAAAGGCACTTGCGAAATTCCCCCCTCAAATGGAATTCAAAAGCTCATCTAGTTGTGGAGCACAGCATTGCTCTTGATCAATAGGCAGTGCGGGCTGGTTTGGAAGTGGGGTGAAAATGGATTTTAGAGAGAGTGGTTATCATTGTGAATGTGTGTGTGAATGTGTGTGTGCGTGCACGTTTTCACCTCTTTCACAGCTGGGCAGGTCTCCGCTCCAGGTCAGATCCCATTGGCACATCAACATTTCGGTGCCCACCACCTCGAAGCCAGGATAACACTGATAGGTGACGACTGTGCCATGCACAAGGTCAGGGTGGGATGTGGTCTTCCAGCCATTTGAGATCTCTGGAAGCTCTGGACATGTGTCGTTACGAGGAACCTCTGCAAAGCAGAACATTTTATTAACCCTTAAAGCTTTGCTAAAAATCCTTTTTAAAATTCTTATAGAAAAATCGACCTCAGACCTTTTTAAAGTATTTTCTTTGGGTGCATTATAGTGATGAATAAATACACATTTGGGGTCAGAGTCAGAGATATCACACGACCCAGAAATATTACTAAACCATAAGAAATTTAACAAATGTCTAAATTTCTCTCCACTTCCATGACTTCTGGAAGATGTAACAAGATCATTTACTCAAATTAAAGGCAAAGTCACACTGCACTTTTCGCCCTATAGACTTCCATTCATATGCATGCGAATGCGTCAGACCAGAAATGTAGGCGTGTTGGAAAGTTCAAGCTTGGTGAACTCTGACTTGCAAAACTGCATCACATGACTGTGTGAGACCAATTAAAGATCAAAACATGACCTTTCTGAACAGAAATTTAAAGAGCCCATATTATGGGTTTTTGAAAATTCCCCTCCATGTAGTGTGTAACACAGCTCTAAGTGAAGTGAATTATCCAGCTAAGGCTTAAATCTGTAAGAATACAGTGTTTAAAACGGTTGATTCATCTATAAAAGAGTCGACTCATAGTGCTTCAAACGAGTCGCCTTGATACCGAGTCATTAGGTGTATCGCCATGACGTACGAACGAAACCAAGTTATTCACGTGCACGCGCAAACCCGGGAGATTTCAAACCTGAGGCCCCGCCCTCTGACGCAGAAACCCAGACACACCCACAAACACACGCACACAAACATGCCGGTCGATTGAAGTCACACTGCAGATGGATATTATATCGAGTCTCTACCCAAAGATGAAACCTCAGCATTATAACCAAGCAGTTGGAAACTACTGGAAACTTCTGCAAACTACATGACGTTGTCGCCCGGAGTTGTGTGTGTGTGCGCGGGCGGTGTGTGTGTTTGTGTCTGTGAAAAGAACAGAGTGAGACAAGCTTGGATATCTCCTCGACAGTTTTTGGAGTTTTTGCTCAATAAAATAGTTAATTGTCTGAATTTTTAAGTCCATCGTTTGTATTTACATTGACCCACTGGCAGCTAAAATCCACGCCTACACTATCTAGCGTGTATGAACTGTGATTACTTTTATATTGCTGATTAGCTGTTTGGCATTTCACTCTGACTGAAGGCAGTCGACCAATCGCAACAGACTGTCATCGGTCCAATCAGCGCAGATTAGCTTCGCGCTAAGGAGGGGTTTGGGAACAAATGAATCACTGGACGATTCATACGGGAGTCGCTGGGATAATTAGGTAAAAATAAATGCAGATTATAAGACCATGAAAGTGTTTTTTGACCTTGCATGCATATTAGACTGTTGTCGGAGACCCTTACAACCAAGATATGACCCTATTTCATGTATAATATGGGCTCTTTAAAATATGGACCAACCGCTAGTTTTTTAAATATCTAATTATATTGTTTAACGTCGCCCCTTTTCGAAGCGCTGTACGGATTTTGCAAGCTCAAACTCTAGTGTGACCATGGCTTTAGGTTGTGTTTACACCAGTGTATTTTCACCTTAAAATAGTTTTAGAATGAAATCGTCCATTTCGGCTTTTTACTGCGCTGTGTGTCTGTCTACACGCTACATCATAAAATGCGTGATACACGAAATGAAAGACCAGTGATGACACGCAGTCACATATTTCACCGAACAGATCAGCCACTTTTGATGCTCATAAACAATCATAAAGCCCTCGTGCTGCTGGAATTAGGAGGTCTGCTTAAGGTGCAGCAGTCACCCAGTGAGGGGTTTGCGTCTTTACTAATCTATGACAGATCCGGGAAACGGGCACAGCACACACTCTCAGAAAAAAAGGTACACGAGCTGTCACAGGGGTGGTACCTTTTCAAAAGGAACGCATTTATACTTAAAGGGTCCATATTAGTACCTCAAAAGTATCTATTAGTACCTAAAAAATTTAAGAGGAACACTTTTGTACTTTTTAGGTACTAATATGTACCCTTGAGGTAATAATATGGACCTTTTTAGGTACAAATTTTTACCTTTTGAAAAGGCACCAGCCCAGTGACAGCTCGCGCACCTTTATTTCGAGTAGTGCATAATAAAAGAAAAAATTTACATATGAAAAGGAGTTTTTATTCTAACCAACATCTGAAATTTATACTTTAGAAATGGTTTCCATTTCTTGCAGCTGAACAACAGGATACACTGACAATGATCACCTTAGTTACACCTCATGTGCTTTATTAAGTGTTAAATGCTAAAAATGTGAGTACTACTGAAAGCAGCAGCAGATAGTTTACCTCAGATCTTTAAAAAAACTGTTTTAAATTGAACTTTAGAACTGTGACTCAGTGCAAGCCAACAAACATTAGTGATTCAGCATGTACATTTAATAATATTAAATAAGTTTAAAATGTATTAATTGGATTATAAACATTACTATTTTGTTGGAGTGGAGTAAGTGCACTATTCTGTGCTTCTAAATGGCTGTGTTTAAATATATGTTGTGTTGCGTCTGGTGCAAACAACAAATTGCTTAAATAAAAAAAAAAAGAAAGTCGAATTTGGAACAATATGAGGGTCAGAAAATGATGACAAAACTGCAAATTTAAAAAGTGCATTCACTTGTAAAATAATATTATATTTCCCTTCGACAAACAAATAATAATTATAATTTTTTTTATTTATGGTTCGATTAAGAACTTTTAAAGTTTATGAAAGCTTTCCCATTCACAAAAGATTCTATACAGTTAAAATGTTCTTTAAATGATAAAATGTTTAACACTCTAAGAGAACCAAAATTGATTCATCCATCACTGTTTGGAACCTTTATTTTAAAGTGTTGGAGAAAAGAGTACTTGTTTGTGATTTTCTTTTCTATGAAGTACAACAAGATTATTTTGATTAGCAGAGCAAGAATGAAGAGGAGAAAGACAGAACGTTCAATAATGCTTGCAAATGATTTCTTTGTTACTCGCCGTGTCTCTGAACAAACCACAGGTGTTGCGTCTAATGACTGATAAATCAAATGCTAGGAATCAGCTTGGCTGTGATTAAAAATGTGAATTGACAGCTGGCAGGCATTTTGCTGCTGTCCATTCATAGCATGGCAGATCTGGAGAGGCCAAGGCACCCGGCAAATGTGGCTAATGACTACAAACATGCAGTGTAATTGTTAGCGCCTCTGCAAGGCCAAATCTGCAGCACCTGCAGGAGCTGCCAGAGAATCATCCTTCTGCTCTGCATGGAGGAAATAGAAAAGCAGTCCATTTCAGTCTGCTTGACGAATCATCTGCATTCCTCCAACCCTCTGAATTGAACATATTATATGTTATCTGATGTGGTGCGCTCGCCACCAGGAGAAGCTGATGGAATGACCTTCACTTTATCCCCAGGAAAGGTGAGGGCTGAACCATCTGTGGCTCTCGCTTTATATCTCCTCTCTCCCTCTTTCATCTCCAAACCACCTATCAACACACTGAGATTGAGGATCCCTAGTGCTTCTTAAATAAATTTTGTGTATACAGATAATTAGTGCCCATCAACAGACTATGAAGTCATAAGTCCAATAAAGCACTGAAAAAGTAAGTAATATATAAGTAAATAATAAAACCTTTATTAACATGACTATTATTTTAACTTAAATTGAATTTTAGAACTGTGACAGTGCAAGCCAACAAATATCAGTGATTCAGCATGTATATTTGATAATGTTAAAGAGGTTTAAAATGTATTAAATTAATTAGATTAAGCGAGTGCACACATAATCTGTGCTTTTGAATGGCTGTATTTAAATTTCGGTCGAGTTGCGTCTAGTGCAAAACAACAAATAGTTTAACTAAAAAAGAAAGTCAAGTTTGGAACAATGGGCTCTGTTTTAACGAGCTAGGTGCAAAGTCTAAAGCGCAGGGCGGAAAAGCATTAATTTATTCGTGTCTGAATGCACTTTCTCTATTTTAAGGATGTGAAAATACTCTCTAAAGCCGCCTTTCCACTGCACACGACATTTGGACACAACTGTCGGAATATGCCTGCTTGTGGCCGCCGCACAGAATTTTCAGTGTTGTCGCGCACTATGAGAGAGAAGCTTTATTAAGAAAGCAAGACTTTATTCTCTGTCCGTTCACTATGGTTGAATTAATGAATAATAGACACTCACAGACCGCTAAAAATTTTGGAGGAAATGTCGAGACAACATGAAAAAATCATATTTTTTATTACTCATTTATGAATAGAAATGTTTTTTAAAACAGACTTTTTTCTTAATCAAAAAAGAACCAAAAAAAAAAACCCTATTCCTCATCTCGCATGCACGGACCTGCTTGGACAACACTGAAATACATCACATCTGGTTAGCCGGTCGCAAACGGTCTACTCGCAGGAGTTCAAATTTTTCAATGGATCCAGAGCTCAAATCGAATCCGAATTTTCTGCATGCAGAGATGATCAGAACTCTACGCAACTCCCGGACTACTCTCCATTGCAAATTAATGACTTCCGGTCTGTCGCTTGACGTTTGTTATGTGCAGTAGAAAGGAGGCTTAACAGGGTTGTGCTTAATTCTTGGTTATGAATGTGTTTTGAGAATAAACCAATCAGAGTCTCATCCCCTTTACCCTTTTGTGTCACATCATGACACATTTGCTATTCACATGGGCATGGCAGACTTTGTAAGTGGAAAAACTGAATGCTTCTCTATCGAGAAAACAGTTCAACGGAGCTTCTGCAGCATGAGGATAAAGAAGCATCCTCCAATCAGCCTTTACTTTCACTTTCTCTTTCTTTCATGGATAAGGAAACTGAAGACATCAATTAGCCAACATATTTATTTTTGTTAGTTAAGTGCAAAGATTTAAAAAATATTTCTAAATTCAGTTTTAATTTCCAGCAAAAGAATAAATGAACAATAATAACAAAGTGTGGTCAAAAACTGAATTATATCCAAACACATATCCTATTCCTATGCCCCATGGTCCTGGACCTGCTTTTAGCTGGTCAATTGCACAGTCTATTTAAGTTCCTCAAAACAGCAACGCGCCAACATTGCGCCTTAACACCTTTTTTTCTAGACCGACACACCCATGAGTCCACAAAGTGGCGCAAATGGATTTGCTATTTAAACAACGTGGTGGAAAATGGGAAAATTAAGGTTGCATTGGACTGAATATAGCAATACATCTTGCTTCTTATTGCACCGGGTGTATGATAGGGCCCAATATGAGGGTCAGAACTATGACAAAAATGCAAAAGTGCATTCACTTATAAAATTGCACTATTGTTCTCTTCCACATATAATTTATATATATATATATATATATAATCTATTGTACTATTTGGAACTTTTAAAATTTATGGAAGCTTTCCCATTCACAAAAATGTATATAAAGTTGAAAATGTTTTTTTTTAACATAATAGCCATGTTAATAAAGGCTTTAAAAATAATTATCGCACTTTTCGAGTGCCTTAGACTCATTTTCAAATGCAAATTTTGTGTTGTTGCTGCTATTATTAAAATTACAATACAGTTTTATTTAATGACATTAGTCAAACTGCACTTCTCTACAGCATTTCTTCACTTTACTATGTTAATGTTACTTCAAACCTTTTTTGATGCATTATTAAAAATTAACTTAATGGACTGCTATCAGACATCAATTTTTTAATCTTACAGAAAATAATGAGTAAAATCATATTGCAATGCAATATTAATTTCATTCAACATGAAAAGAGCTGTGCTGCTTTCTTTTTTGTGGAAAAGATGATATTTTCTTTTGGAATTAATTTATGAAGAGAAAGTTCAAAAGGAGGAATTTATTTAAAGAGTATTAATTACTGTGGAATTCTTGCATAAAGTTGAAATGTTTTTATGGCTATTTTTGATCAATTTGATGCATTCTTGTGGAATTTCTTTAAAATTTTTATATTGACACTTATGAGTGTTAGTAACCTAACCCTAATCCTAATCCTAACCCTAAATTTGAATTTGTGAATGTGTATTGTGAGTTATTACCAAAAAAGTGCACCACAAAGCCGTTGTTGTAGCCATAGATGTTGGTAGCAGGGTCTGATTGGAACTGGATGGTCACATCAGCCATAGAGGTGTAGAGCTTGAACCGAGGCCGTGAGCCGCTGTATTGGCCCAGTATCTTTGCAGTCAGGTCATCTCCATCATAGAAAGTCAGCAGGTCATTCTTTCCCATGTGGAGACTGTGAACAGAAAATACACAACAGGTCAATCCCACACTAATCCACTATCTCAGAGACTCAGCTCTCTCCTCCGGCAGATTCCTGAGCTCTTCTTCTAGTCTTCATTTTATGGTCTCAACACTTTGCTCTTGTTGTTCCTGCCACAAATGAAATATTTTCTGCTGTTTAATGTTTCCCTGTTGCTTTTGTCAAACATTTTTGGCCATAGTTTTGATAGCCATGTAATCACAAAGCACATTCATCTCACTCAGACTATAAAGAGTGAATGATTCAGCAGTGGGAGAAACAACTCCTCCTATCTAATGTTTAGAAATAGCTGGAAAATCAGTTTCCCAATTTTCAGGAGCCAAAGAGAGAGAACATTTGACAGCCCCCCTGCAGCAAATTCATGAGTGTTTCCATTACGGACATGCTGTGAAATTATTATAGCTTTTACAATTTTAATTTGAGTCTAAAGCAAAGTCTTCAGTTTCATTTGAACATTGTTTTGATTTTGATATATCAAAATTCTTAGCAATTTGAGTGTTTTTAATTTATACACTAGGGTTAAATTGACACATATATGAGAACATCACATTTAAATAAAATCAATTATTATTAACTACAATAATAATAATAGTTATAATAATAATAATAATAATAATAATAATAATAATAATAATAATAATAATAATAATAATAATAACTACCACAATTATTTTATTTTTTTAAGAATTATATTCAGATAGTTTTGATTAAAAGAATATTATTGTATATCATTTGAAACAGAAATCTTTGGCAACATTATAAATGTGTTTACTGTTGTGTTTGAGCATTGCATTTTAATAGAATGAAAGTAAAAAATAAATAAAATTAATAAAAATAAAATTAATTAAAATGATTACTTTATTATTAACATTAATAAAATATGTCTGAGCATTACATTTTAGTAGACTGAAATTAGTGTATATTAAACAATAAAAAAGAAGTAATAAATAATAAATAATAAAAAAGATAAATAAATAAAAAAGAAACACATTAAAAAATAATAAAAAATGTATTTTATTTTATTAAATTTAATTACATTTTAGTAGAATGAAAGTGGTATATGTAAAAAAATAAATAAATAAATTAATTAATAAATAAATACACAAAAAATTTAATAAATAAAAATGACCAAAAAAAATAAAAAATACTAATTCTAAATTAAATAAAATATCTCATATTTATAAAAAAATTGGTTGGTATTTTTTTTAGTCCCCATAACTGTCTCTCCCACCCATCAATACTTCAGTATTACATTATATCAAGTATAAAATCAGAAAGCTGCATTTTATAAAACCAGAGGGGAATCTGAGCCCGCCTCTCAATTGCATAGGGAACATATGACCTTCACAACATTTAGCAATCCCCTAAAAAATCCCGACAGCCTTACACACACAAAGATCACAAAAATCTCACCTTACAGTCAAAATGTCAACATAAGGCACTACCTTGACATCACCATCCTTTACTTCCAGCACAAATAATAGCCATAACCCACAAAATGCAGACATACTGATGCCTATTACAGCGTACATCCACAAGTCTATTTCTACAACACACCAAAACCAGTCTGTGTGTCCAGCCACTGGTGGAGGGAGTGTGATTCAGTCAGGCAGGGAGGTGGCAAACACACTCTATCTTGTCACTAATTAATCACAAGTGGGCAGTAATGGAAGTCATTACTGAGGAGAGGCGAATAATTAATCATCTCCGTTCTGCTGCAGCACGAGGCAGAATAGTTACATTCAAGCAAAATGAAGACAGCATGTTTAAATTATGCCTCACACACACACACACACTATATATATATATATGGTTTGCGAGGAGGTATAATGCATTTTATATTGTAAACCTTCACAGGAAACCCAAGGCAAAATTTGAAAAATAAAAAAAAAAACAAATAAGTAGGGCCAGACAGAATTTGTGGAATTGTTTTACTATTTCTGCGAAGAATTTTGTAAAAAAAAATCAGCAGATTTATGCAAAATTATTAAGTAACTAAACCTGAAACATGAAATTAAAAATGATACTCTTTTAACTGTTATTTAATGTTTACAATGCAAATCCAAGATTACCACTTTATTTGGTAAACAAAGCAAGTCTCTCATATAATATATCTACTAAAAAACAGAAATATTACTTTAAATACTGTATTGCAAATAAATCATATGAATTTGTTTATATTAGTCAATAATATTACTGATATTAAAACTTTTAAATTCTTTAAAACTGATTTACATACACTTACACAAGTAAGTACACTCAATGATGGGCTAAAATTCTGCGGATTTCTGTGTGTACAGATTTCGGGTGCATGAAAAATCCAACCTTTAAGCAAGGGACCTTTTACACAACTTGACCTTAGAAAAATTACAATACAGTTGTAGTCAGAATTATTAGCCCCCCTGAATTATTTGCCTTTAATAACTCATTTATAATGACTGATTTATTTTATCTTTGCCATGATGACAGTAGATAATATTTTACTAGATGTTTTTCAAGACATTTCTATACAGCTTAAGTGACATTTAAGTGACATTTAAAGGCTTAACTAGGTTAATTTGGTTAACTAGGCAGGTTAGGGTAATTAGACAAGTTATATAACGATGGTTTGTTCTGTAAATTATCAAAAAAATGTAGCTTAAAGGGGATAATAATTTTGTCCTTAAAATGGTGTTTAAAAAATTAATAACTGCTTTTATTCTAGCCGAAATAAAACAAATAAGACTTTCTCTAGGAGAAAAATATTATCAGACATACTGTGAAAATTTCCTTGCTCTGTTAAACATCATTTGGGAAATATTTAAAAAAGAAAAAAAAAACAATTCAAAGGGGGGCTATTAATTCTGATTTCAACTGTATACCATAAGAGAATGTACTGAAATGTTTTACTTGACAACCCGTTTCAGATCACATAGAGAAGATGGAGCCTTTATGTGGACGCTTCTTTATGTGATCCTTCCTTCTCTTAATTTTTTTGTGTAAAACTATTATTTATTAGTATTTTATTTTCTTATTCATCCATATATCTTTATAGAACCTAAATGTATATGTGTGCATTGAGTTTTGTTTGTTTGTTGATAAAGTTAGAAATTATCTGAATTGCATGTTTTGTATCTGACACGTTCAATAAAAAACACAACTTTGAACAAAAATAAAACAACAAGTATGACATTTAATTCAGTGGTCCACTGTTATATCATATTTTAAACTTCAGTTCATGTGTAATGTAGATGTGTGAACATAAACACCACCTCCTAATGTAATACGCTCACAGTTCAATGCAAAGGGAGACATTGGCTTTTACAGAGTTAGCTTAGCAAAGCCTGCTGTGAACGAAGTTTGGGGACTTCACAAAAATACATCCGGGTTAGTGAGATCACAAGCGATTCAGGTTGTGTGCATTCACCACTTGCATACACCCTGCGCAGCAATGGGGTGTGGCCAGAGGCGCTGTAATGTTATAGCTGAGAAAGCTAAAATGCCGTCCAAACGCTGCTTTTTCCACAGAACTTCTTCTGTTTCTGTATTTGGGCACAAAGAGAGAAGTGCTTACAGTTTTAATTTTAATTATGTTCCAGAGAAATATAAAAAGGATATAGCTAGCATTTGACAAAGGACAGCTTCCAGAACATCTCCCAGTTAAGTGCTGGATTCGGCTAAAAACTCCTCAAAGAAGGAGCAGCTCCAATCTGCAAGTCATTTTATTTGTAAAATTGATATATTTCTTGTGCCGTTGCTAGCGTTAACGGTGTGCTGTAGCAAGGATGTAAACAAGGATGTAAACAACAGGAAATGCTGTTTGGCACCATTAACAATTTAGCTACAAATTCATATTTATTCAGCAAATTGCTGTAAACACCCACAGTCTTCAGCAGTGTTGCAGTATCTCTCTATGTGGCCCCTTTCAGTGCGTTCTACATCTCAAATAACCAACTCAGTAAAAATATGTGAACGTTTCACATTACTTACACATGCTTATAACCCTAATATATTTGAAAGACACTTTGATTTTAGAGAGATTTGATTTACAGAGCAGGCATGAGGTTCAGCTGCATCCTTTTCATTTTTTGTCTGATTCAGGCTCAAACTGATATGGCAAACAGCTAAACTGATTGACTGTTTACACAGCACAAAACCACATGCTATTAGAGGCGTGACACTTTTCCTAGTGACGTGGAGCAAATCTGCGAATTACAGCACATTATGTTAGCTGACCAATCAGAGCCTCTTGAGGGTGGGCTTTCGGAGGAACTAGGAAATATGACAGTCATTTCATGTTAGCTGAGTAGCTGTATACAGTCAAAGTAGAATTTATGAAAAAATAACAAGATTTTCAACAGATTAAGCGTAAGCACACATTGCTTTGCATTTTATAAACACAGCCAAGCCTTAAAAATACACTCTGGACCATTTTGAAATGTGAGACAGTCTGTGTCAAATGGAAGTTTATTTCAGTATGATTTTATAGATGCAACTGAAATGGATTATCGAGTAGGGGCGGGGCTTAATTTTGAGCATCATTAGCTCAGTAAGACGACCGTGATTAGGGACATTGAGTCTGAAACCATTAAACTGACCTCAACAGAGGACCACCACTTCACATGTGGAAGCAAATGGTCAGATTTTGATTACCAAAACATATTTTTTTTCTTCAGCAGATTAAAGAATAACATTGTAGATTTTATTTCAAACATACTTTAACAGTGTAATACCATATCCATGTCACTATGAAATGTTGTCAATTCAATTACATTCAATTCAATGTAATTCAAGTTACTTGTATAGCTCTTTTTACAATAATTATAATTTAACTTCACAAAAGTTGCACATCATTACATTATTGTCAAAATTACAAAAGTAAAGGGTTGGTAGCATATAAATACAGTTAACCTGCAGTTATACAGTATTTAGTCCTTGTAAACCACATAAATCAGAACACACACTCACATACACTTTTACATGAGGATTTCATC